TATATATATATATATATATTGTGTTTTATAAACTACATAATATATATGATAACAAATAATATTTTATTATGAAAAATTATACTATATTATAAAAGTTGCTGTATATATATATATATATATATATATATATATATATATATATATATATATATATATATATATTACGTTATAACAGTTAGAACAAACATAAACAAAACGTTATTTGATCTATTGATGCTCTGTCCACTCAAGCGCTAATTCGTTTACGAATCTCAAAACTTTTGGGTGAGGTCCGACTGCTTTATTACCAGTTTTTCTTTTCAATTTAACTTCATTTTTCACGATTCGTTTTTGCGATACATCTAAATAATAATTATTAGATCAGAATAATAAATAATTATTTACAGTAAAAAAAAAAAAAAAAGAAAAGAAAGTAATAAAAATTGTATGTAGATCGAGCATGTAGAGCATGAAGTTGCAGATAATCAGGATTTAGTGATGTAGAAGAAAGTAAAGGTAGATAAAGTTAAAGAACAAATTGCAGCTTATATGAAAAAGCTATGGATTTTTATAGATTTTTTATAAGCAAGTATCAAAGTAAATTATCATGAATTACCTTTATCATTGTACTTTCATATTTTCGTGGCAAAAGAGAAGAATTCTTGTGAAGTAAATCCATGATTTCAGCCGGCAGCTTTTCCAGAGAACTTTAAAAACATTTATTTAATCGTATAGCATAGCAATGGAAGATTCAGATGCAGTTACATTAACAATTCAAGATTTCGTTGAAATTGAAATCATGAACCTAAGGAAAACTTTCAATAGTAGTATTTCATATTAAAACTTACAATCAAAATTAATCAATGTATATAAATACAAATAAATAATTAAATAATAATTTAACAATAATTAACATCAAAATTTCTATTTTAAAGATAACTTTATCAAAAACCACAATTTTACATAATTAAATAAAGATATTTTTTAGACTGCACTAAGAAAAAGTAACTTACAATCAAAATTAATCAATGTATATAAATACAAATAAATAATTAAATAATAATTTAACAATAATTAACATCAAAATTTCTATTTTAAAGATAACTTTATCAAAAACCACAATTTTACATAATTAAATAAAGATATTTTTTAGACTGCACTAAGAAAAAGTAACTTACAATCAAAATTAATCAATGTATATAAATAAAAATAAATAATTAAATAATAATTTAACAATAATTAACATCAAAATTTCTATTTTAAAGATAACTTTATCAAAAACCACAATTTTACATAATTAAATAAAGATATTTTTTAGACTGCACTAAGAAAAAGTAAATATAATATTTAATATACAAATTATAACATTTAATATACAAATCCAGCTAACCATAACTATTACAACTACTGACTTCTACTGTCACCATACATGCTCTAAAATTTTGACTATCATGTCTAACACTCCTGTCAGGGTTATCCTTTCCATCTGTATCTACTTAAAAAACGAATAATTCCAAACCAGCTCTCTTTCATACACCATCTGATAACTACTTGAAGAACGAATAACTCTACACCAGATCTGTGACATACATCTGACAAATACTTAAAAAACGATTAATTCTGCTTCAGCTCTTTTTCATAAACCATCTGACAACTACTTAAAAAACGAATAATTTTACTCCAGCTCTGTTACATACATCATCTGATAACTACTTAAAAAACGAAAAATTCTAATCATACACACATCATCAGATGTCTACTTAAAAACAAATAACTCTACTACATACATCATCTGATAGCTTAAGACACAAGTAACTATGAATATTATTAAGCAAATAACAGGTCATGATTTTCAAAAAACGAATAATTCCACTCCATTTTAAATACTTCTCGTAACATCACAGTCACGTGACTTATGCATTGTGATTCTTTTTACTTATACAAAATATTAAACACTTTTTCAAAACCTCATATTAACCGGTGAAACTACAAAACTCCATATGATTGTTATGTATTAGTGGTAATTTTTATAAAAATTATTAGTTAATAAATTAATATATTAGTTTTTGTTTTTATATTAATATAATTCTAGTTTAATATTTTAGATCATCTAGTTATAATAGTTTGTTTATTCTCTAGAAACACGTCATAGGACTACTAAAAATCACGCCTAGCTTACGTTACATCTACTTAAAGGACCTTAAACTATTTTTTGTACTGATAACTCTTACTATTGAGGCATGCTGCTACAATAGTTACACACGTAAACCATATTATCTATTTACATTACACATACCTGAATGAACTCAAAGCAGTTCACAACTCTCATTGACCCATGCCACACTTTGACAAAACACTGGACGTTCAAGTCAAAAAACATGGACACTCAAGTCAAAAAACTACTTACTACTGTTTGCAAGTTGTACTGAACCCCGCTAAGTGTCCTCTGGTCCCAGTGTCAAATCAGGAGTCTGTGGTTATCGTCCTGACTGGATACTCTGAGAATAGTCCTTTTGGGATAACACCATGGGATACCTTAAAAAAACAGCCTCGTGTAGACCCAGAGTGGAAATTCTTTTGGGATACCAGTCTCGGATGAAAGCTGGAGGTCTTCATGTGTTCATACTGCACCATAAGGCACGAATCCATGCTGTACTTGAGACGTTCATGACACTTATATCTATAATGTATGTTTATCATCCTAATAATACAAACCAAAGGGTGACTACTTATAAAACGAATAATTTTACTCCATTACCAATTCTATCTATACATCACATTTACGCTGGACTAACAACAATTTAGTTGCACAACAACTAATGGTTTTCCTTGACTATTGTTTATTATTCTTATTTATTTTTTACTACATTTTACTTATATCAGTTTTAAACAATTTTTTATTTTTGAAGCTCTTTGTTTTCTACTGGACATCTGTCCTTTTGTACTTTTATCTCACTCTGCTAAACTCTTTTTAACTTATAATTCATCCCTAAGGCGTTCACTGCTCGGTGCAGCTTCACTAAAATGCATTGCATTTACAAAAAATTGATTTTTTTTTTTTAATTTCCGAATTATTAGGTATGTCCACCTTAAGATGTCAAGATTTTTTTGAATTTGACAAGGAATTTTTTAACTACGATAAAAAAATTATGTTATATGCATTTCCAATAACAACAACTGGATTGCTGGTATCATTACCAAGCTATATGCATTTTCAATAACAACAACTGGATTGCTGGTATCATTACCAAGCTATATGCATTTCCAATAACAACAACTGGATTGCTGGTATCATTACCAAGCTATATGCATTTCCAATAACAACAACTGGATTGCTGGTATCATTACCAAGCTCTTTGCATTTCCAGTAACATTAAATCGTTGTTATATTTACCAACTAAATGCATTTCCAGTATCATTTGATTGTTGTTATCGTTACCAAAGTATTGCTATCCCAGTATCATTTCATTTTTGTTACCGTTAATAAACTATATGCAAAAAGATACCCAGTAGCAACATTACTAGCATAATTTTCTTCATTGAGTTGTAATGAAAAATAAACATTTTATAATAAAAACATATATCATTTACATTTACTAAATAATCATTTACAATATTAATATTACATGCAAGATTGCAAATAAACTTACCATCACACAAACAAATTGATCATATTTTTAAAAGTTGTTACCTTTTCACAGTTAAATATCACAGGTTAGCTTTCCAATATTTCAAAACCCAACTTTTAGTGTAACGGTTGAAGGACCGATTTTAGTTGTCTTTTCATTTTTGAAAATTTTTTATTCATTCATAACTGACTATACAAGAAAAAATTTTTTTTTTGCAAACCCTTAACTGGAAACAGAAAAACTTCAGCTTTCTGTTATTTGCATCTGGCAGTCATGACAGTTTCAGATAACATCTTCTTTCTCATATGCACACAGTGGATAACTTTCGCATTCACGATAAAACCATTTGTTACAAGGAAAACATTGTGCCATTTGTCTGAACAAAAAATTAAAAATTTAAAATGAATTTGGTGTTATAAATAATATATACGCATACCAAAGTTAAGTGGTAATTTAATATCGACATTCATCTTCACTATGATAAATAGCCTTTGTAAAAACTAAAAATTTCTACATACCCCTTTAGTATGTGTAATATCGTCTTATGCACAAACATAATATTGTATATGATAACATACCAATTAAAAATATGCTCATATTTTTGGGTCCAAAACATGCGACAGGAACAATATAGAGGAATATAAAAACTCTTTGCTGTGCATCTTCTAAACATAGTTGGGGTAATTGCTTTTGGAAAAACATCTAACTGGTTATTTAGTATACAGTTTAAAAGATGATTCTTCATTTCATTTCGCTCAAACATATAAGTACTTGGTGGAATACCATTTGTTTCTAGTACCTGGCGTGCCCAAGCAATAGCATAAAGCCCACAATCTACCCCATTTGTTTGCTGCTGTATAGGTAAAACTTTAATAACAATTTTTTTTTTGTGAACAGTGTAAGATGGAGCATATTTGTCTTTTAGTCTCAATACTTATTAAACCATGAAAAAGACTGTCGAAAATAAAGATTTCTCCAGACTTGCAATCATAAGTTGTAATGCAAACCCAATGTATATTTCCATCATGAAGAATTTGTACAAAAGATTTGCTAGGACAAGAATCAAAAGACATAACCTTTCCTTTAATAGGATCTTGAAGACCATCATCAATGTTAAATTGAATTGACATCATTCGTTGACAAAAGTGTATGACATTATTGTTTAGCATTTCTCCTTTAACTATGTCATTTTTTTCAACATTTTGGATCAACGAGCATTTAAGATTCTGAATGCAGTGCACAGTGCTTTGAAGTTTGTCATTATCATTAACTATGTTGACTTTGTGGAATTCTTGGCAATTATCAAATGCTTCTCCTGTCACTTCAATTGGTTCCATGGAAACTGTAAATGTTTCACAATTATCATCAATAACATCAGTAAAAATCTCTGAA